TTTTGGAGGGCACAGTATGGGCATTACTAATGCCAAAGAGGCACTTGAGTGGAAAAAGGTTGCAGAGCAACGCTGCAGCCTCACAACCTCGGGCCGTGGCCGAAATAAAGAAAAAATGGTCTGACATTAAAGTGGATGCAAAAAAGCGTTTAGCGTGCCATCTCCAAAGTGTGTCTGCCACAGGTGGGGAAAGGGGACACCGGAGCTGTCACCTCTTGATGAGAGACTGGCGGCAATGATTGGGGATCGGGGACAGGGTCTGGGCCAACATCGGCGTCAGGGAGTCGAGGCACGTTTGGAAGCTGTGCCACATTATGTAGCACAGCACATGCCAGCACGGTTTTGCACACCTTTTCAGGAAGCTCCCTCCAGTGCAGTCGAGGCAGCGCCATCTGCCCTTCAACAGGCCGATGGTGCGCTGCACTACAGCGCGAATCCTTCCATTTGCCACATCTAAGAGCGCAAGATCAGCCATTTCGCGTCATTACGCATTGTGATGGGATCATGGGATTTTATTACCGTCCATTTGATTGCATATGACAAGCAACAGCTGTGTTTTAAGGATGAATTGCAGAACATATTTCACTTTTCTTTTTGAAAATGTGTTAATTTGTATTAGTTTGTTTTACGCTGCAGATCGATCAAACGGGTGTTCCTGTTATTTATGAGAGGCAGTATTGGCATTTCTTTTACAACAGTCTAGTTTTACACACTTTCACACACGTTTGCGTGTTTCTTGCATTTGCCGACGGTTCTCATTTCACCCGTTTTTGTGCGTACGCATGGGTCCGAGCTTGAGTGAAGGACTGCCCATTTTTCCGTCAAGTTTGCTTTTATAAATACGAATTATTGCGTTGAGAGCGGCGTACGCCTTCTTTTGTTCTTTAACGTTTATAAATGAGGCCCCTGGTGGTTCCAAATTTCCGGATGATGGAGGCCACTGTGCTCATTAGGACTTTCAATGCTGCAGAAATCTTTCTGTACCCTTCGCCAGATCTGTGCCTCAATACCTGTCTCGGCGGTCTACAGATAATTCCTTGGACTTCATGGCTTGGTTTATGCTCTGATATGCACTGTGGATACCTTATATAGACAGGTGTGTGCCTTTCTCAATCATGTCCAATCAACTGAATTTAGCACAGGTGGACTCCAATCAGGTTGTAGAAACATCTCAAGGATGATCAGTGGAAACAGGATGCACATGAGCTAAATTTTGAGTGTCATGGCAAAGGCTGTGAATATTTATGTACATGTTATGTTTTCTTTCTTTATTTTTAACAGATTTGCAAAAATTTCCAAAAATCAGTTTTCACATTATGGGTTGTTGTGTGTAGAATGTTGAGGAAAATAATTAGTTTAATCCATTTTGGAATAAGGCTGTAACATAAAAAAATGTGGAAAAAGTGAAGCGCTGTGAATACTTTCCAGATGCACTGTATGTCTAAGTCATAAGCTTGATAATGTTCCCGGTACCAGACATCCAATTTTTTGACCATCAAAATAAGTGTCTCCTGTAGCACAATCATATGAACAATTTCACAAAGGAAGACCAGCCAGCGACACATGGGCGACCACCATTCCCACACTGTAGTTGAACTTGTTGTAGGATTGTTGCGAGGTTCAGTGTCCGCATGTGGGTGTTTGTTTCACGGCCAGTGCTATATCCTCATTAAGAACCTTAAGGGGGAGTGTTTGAGTTACCTCCAAAGATGTCTTAGAAAATCTACACATGAGCAAATCCGTCTGAAATTGGTGCCTTTGAGCTAATGTATACAGTACATTTTTGTAACAGTTTGTATGATGGACCACTCTTTTGAAGAAGCTATGTTTAGCCTCAAATTTCATAGTCCATAGTCCAATAAGGGGGCCAAATTGTCGTCTCAACTGTGGATAATGCTCCAAGAAATTATGTTTGGGATGAATTCTTTAGTGGGGGAAAACTTCTTAGAACACTGTCCTGTATTCCGATATCTTGAAGTCCAGATAAGAAATAATCCTCAGTGTGAACAGGTGCAACGACAAGTTCTACAATGTCCTTTAAGTCAGAGGATTTGTCACACTGGTTCGTTTGAAGGAATGCTGGTTCCGATTAAGAGAGAAGAAATCTCAGCAGGATCCAATTCTCATGTGCATTTCCTCTAATTGTTCTTTTTGCAGTGAAAGTGAGGGGCACACAATGAGGGCAGTTTGTCTTATCAGTCTACTTGAATGGGAATGTTGTTGTTGCTTGGTCAGATTGGCTAACGTAAAATATCTTTTAGAAATTAACACACTAAGCCAAAGAGCAATCTCAACAGGTATAATTCCTTCAAAAAGGTCATGAACTATATCTGGAGGGGAAACTCTGCGTCACATTGAAATACAACAGATTTTCTGACAGCACACACTTCATCTTTACACCAAAATGACAAGCTAATACATTTTCCTCAATAGTTTTAAGATGAGAAGTATGAATCTCCTTATTTAGACAAAATCTCCCTGACTTGACTTCTTTTGTTTGAATGTCTACCTTTTTTGCTGTAAAAAATCTGCAAGCATATTTTCCTGAAAAACATTCCACAAAACCTGCAATACTATGGGCCCCGAGATTGTCTGCTACAACACAATGAATAAAGCCTTTCACAGTTTTACTCAACTTGGCAACAAACAGATCATCGACTAAAGGCTTCAATACATTGTCAGAACCATAGCACTTAACATCGTCACTATGAATAAGTGCAGCTAAGTATATATTAGACAGCGATGAGTGACAACTAGCAGCTACACTCACCTAAAGGATAATTAGGAACACCTGTTCAATTTCTCATTAATGCAATTATCTAATCAACCAATCACATGGCAGTTGCTTCAATGCATTTAGGGGTGTGGTCTTGGCAACTTTGACTGAAATAACCACTCGTTACAACCTAGGTATGCAGCAAAGCATTTGTGAAGCCACAACACGCATAACCTTGAGGCGGATGGGCTACAACAGCAGAAGACCCCGCCGGGTACCACTCATCTCCACTACAAATAGGAAAAAGAGGCTACAATTTGCAAGAGCTCACCAAAATTGGACATTTGAAGACTGGAAAAATGTTGCCTGGTCTGATGAGTCTCGATTTCTGTTGAGATATTCAGATGGTAGAGTCGGAATTTGGCGTAAACAGAATGAGAACATGGATCCATCATGCCTTGTTACCACTGTGCAGGCTGGTGGTGGTGGTGTAATGGTGTGGGGGATGTTTTCTTGGCACGCTTTAGGACCCTTAGTGCCAATTGGGCATTGTTTCTGATCATGTCCATCCCTTTATGGCCACCATGTACCCATCCTCTGATGGCTACTTCCAGCAGGATAATGCACCATGTCACAAAGCTCGAATCATTTCAAATTGGTTTCTTGAACATGACAATGAGTTCACTGTACTAAAATTGCCACCAGTCACCAGATCTCACCCCATTTGAGCATCTTTGGGATGTGGTGGAACTGGAGCTTCGTGCCCTGCATGTGCATCCCACAAATCTTCATCAAGATGCTATCCTATCAATATGGGCCAACATTTGTAAAGAATGCTTTCAGCACGTTGTTGAATCAATGCCATGGAGAATTAAGGCAGTTCTGAAGGTGAAAGGGGTCAAACACAGTATTAGTATGGTGTTCCTAATAATCCTTTTAGATGAGTGTACATTCCCTAATGTCCAATATACCCCACAGACATAGTTTTTTTTCTGGAGGTACCGAGCGGCAATATACTAAATAATTGAAATGGCACTCTCCTGAGACAAATGCAAATCTTCTTTGAAATGAATACTGTCATAAAATGCCTTGTACTGAACTGAATCTTTCTGAATTTGATGGGGAGTTTTCAAATTGATTGCTTTATCTAAAAATGTTTCACAATTTAATATCAGCTGTAAAGATTTTGGTACAGGAAAAGATTTATTTTTTTAGAGTCAAGCACAAATTCTATAGGTTCTACAAAACTAAAATGTTTTTTGTAGTATGTCTTTCGCTTCCATGCAGTGGAGAGTGGAGAGTTACTTGACAGTTTCCATGCTGTAAATGCTGAGATATAATTTGATGGCTAAGAGGGACAGAAGCAGTGGTTATTAAATAGTCACAATCTTGCATGTTCATCAATACCCACACTAGGAACAAGATAAACATGTTCTAGCTTCGCTAAGAGAGAAGCAACTTTGAGCTCAACATTATGTGGCAAGTCGTTTAAATCCTGAATCTCTAAAGCAGGATTACTTAAATCCTGTGAGTTTAAGTCATCTGACGGCTCAGTACCAACACTATCAATATGGGGAGTGTCAGAATGATCAACAGAAACACCTACGTTTGACCTGTGGTTTTAAAGTATCCCAGGCTTTAAGTCACTCACTAAACAACCCTTATGATTTCTCCTTTTGTGAGTTTGAAACAAACCATAGATATTTGTTTTGTACGAACACCCTGAAACACACCAGCGGCTCTTTCACTGTTTTGCAATAATGTATGTTGAATGTACCTTTAAAGTTGAATTGCAGTTGCATAAGAGACATTCAAGTGTGTTCAGTTCTGTATGTGTTTAGGGCTGACGACATCTTAACAAGTGGCTTAAAAGTGCATTCCATGTCTTGCAGGCACACTGGTAGTTGGGTAAAAATCAGTTCCCCCCCCAAAAAAGTGTAAGATTTTGGAGATTTGCCCCAAAAACAGCCCTACAAATATGGTAGATAACAGGCGACAAAGGTAGAGGTATTATTTATACGCTTTGATAGCCGGGTGGTTTTAGTACTCTCAGTTTTGCCCGAGAGAAATGTTACAGATGTTTGCGTTTACTAAAGTTGTTAAAGTTGTGTTTAGAGTATTATAAAATGGATTTCTGCAAATAAACATATGTTTTCTGAGGAAGGAGCAATTACGTTTGTGGTCATTTAATTACAATCTTTATGCAATGGAATTTGTATACATTTTTATCTTATTAGAAAAGAAGTACAGTATCTGTAGAGGAAAATAATAGTCCTAAACCAAAAGCCTTTGTTCTGGTTTTAATATAGGACATACAATGATGGGTGACATAAACATTTACAAAAAAACTAAATACAATATATAAACAATGATAATGACAATGAAAGAAAAAAACATTAAATAAACATTTCTTGACATTATTAATCTCTAATACACATTAGAGATTAATAATGTGGTCCTGTGGCAACAATCCATTAAAAAAGCCAAAGTGCAGTTAAGCTTGCATTTCATGAGATAATTTCATTAAAAGTTAAGCCCTTTAAATTGATAATGCTAGTTGAGCCAGGTGTTTTGCCTTATATTGTTCAGTTAACAGGTTTTTATTTGGTGGTATGAAGACATCTACTGAAGTATTACCATGAAACATATTTCCGATGCAAAATATAAGATCTATAATACTTTAAAATGTGATTTTGTATGTATGACCTTCAATTCTGAAAATCTATAACATTTTAAGGATCCACTGCAAACCATTTAAAAGAAACAAGATAGTCTATTATATTTAATCAAGCAACACACACAACCAAACTAACTATCCTTTTACCTCTGCATCTATATGGAGCAGGACAATCAATAATTAACATTAAAAAGTCTGCAGACGTACTTTTGGAGAAACCATCCAGAACCCCATTAGTGAATGAGTTGAGGGACACAGGCCGCTGTATATTATGATGTCTATTTTCCATTGCAAAAAGTTTTTTTTTTTTTTTTTTTTTTTTTTAATTAAATGTGGCTACTGCTCATGACAGGTCACTAAATGCCCTTAATGATGCCCCTAAAGATTCTGGAACTTCCAGGGGTTATCAAGTAGGTTGTCGTCCTCATTTTGCTCCTGTATTGGAGAGTTGGACATCCCCAAAAAAGTAATAAATCAAAAGGCACAGGCCCTCAATAGTATTTGGCAAAAAGTGGACATTTAGAAGGAACAAGAATAAACAGTTAGAAACCACAATTATGTCCGGACATACAGCCAAACACTGCAGGGAAAAAACCTAATTTAAATATTTAAACAGGATCAAATGTGTACATGACCACACCAAAAAGTACTGCAATGTGACAAAGTCAATATTCGAGCTCTCAATTGTTCATTGTCTGTCCCACATTCATTCAAATTCAGAAGCATAGATCTAAAATGTCCACGTTTGCTAGAAATGGTGGGTATACAAGAAGAGACTTGTACGTGTACCAAAGCTGACATGGTTCTTAACAGTTCAGTTTAGTCTGTACAAAGCCTGGGAACAGGGCTTCAAGTGCCTCCTGAACAATGCTAGCCTGTTCAGCTCATTAGTTATAGTCCTATATTTGCTGCCATCTAATACCACCTAGTGGCTAGGTAATATCTTTTCATGCATGATATACAATTCTTCAGCACATCAACACAATGCAGAAACAAGCAAAACATACTACATACTTTTCATAATTATGAAATTAAATGGGATGAAAAACAGAACCTAGGAAAATGTATTTTTACAGTATGAGTGGTACATGTAATCATACCATTGAGTGCCAGAGCACGTATACACAATTGACAAATACCAATTCAAAGCATGTATTTTCAGAAAATGTACACTCTTTGCAAATATAGTGCTTGAAAATTGGGAGATGAATGTTGTTGTTATTTTGACTCAGCCAACATTGTGATGGGATGTTGAAATCCAAATTAGGTAGGCTGTCAACAATCACGAGAAATACTCTATACCTGTCAGCTGCATGCAGGGAAAGGGTCATGGGACTGTTGACAATTCAGATAAAGGGTACAGCGGGCTTTTACACAAGGCTATCATTACTGATGCTGTGGTCACATGATTTACACATTGCTCGTTATGATGTCCCCCCCTAAAATCTCCTAAAGCTTGTTTGTTAGTTTTCTTTCAGCATGGAACTCGGATATACAGTATGTAAATTACACCTGGCTGAGATTTGATCACAGTGTGAGTTGGACTACCTCCAGGTGAGGTCTAGTCAATCCCAAACCAATCAAATTATGTGCAAATTATGTTTAAGTGGATTCTGGTACTATCAATATTTCAACAATAGCACTGTATTCTTGAATTATTCATTAGAAAAACATTGTCCTGAAAAAAAAAACACCTATCTAATCTTTGATTTAATTACAATCAATATTCAATCACATTATCCATTATCTACTGCTATTTAAAAAAATAAAGATTTGATTAGTATTGAATGGTATACGCAAACATGATAAATTCCTCAGTATACTTGGGAAAAAAAAGTACTTATTTAACAAGGTCTGAAGCGACCTTTTGTTAGGGCTGCATCTGACAATCTTCTGGCCCATTTTGAAGCTGGAAAATTAAGCCGTGCAGAAGTATATGAAGGTCACTTTTTGATGGAGTATATTTAGACTGTACCTGTCATGTTTCATGCTTTAGTATACACATTTCTGTAAATAATGACAGCTTTACCTAAAAACTAACCAATTTCCTCTGAAAGAAGCCATGATACGTAGTTACAATAAAAGTAGCGTAAAGCAGAGTTGAAAGGAAACAAGCGTGTTGTAGGTACAAAACAGTCAGTGCAGCAACTGCAAACTGGAGGTAAGACCTGGTCTCTGTACTGAGTCTCTGTGGTATCATTCAGTGTCCGGCTCTTTGTTCTCTTGGAGAGGACTTTCTCTGGCCGGCAGGAGGTCGTAGTGGCAGGGAATGTGACTGTTTTTTGGAAGATCGTACAGATCTTTACCGAACTGCATGTCACCATTGCTGTCTTCTGTTAGCTGGATGTTACTTACTGGCTCTGAAATTGAAGACACGCAAGTTGACTGTTGCAGGAAGAATAAAGTACTAAGCTGAAAATTTAAAAGGAACAAACCAACATTTTGGAAAACTTTGTTGCACTAAACTCATCAGAGTTTAAATTGAGGTAATCAACTAACCAGGACAATTGAATAACCCCTATTTAAATATAGCTCACTAACTGTCCAAAAACACACTAATAGCTGAAATCCAGAATTAATACATGTTAATGAGCCAGGATGGAAAGGGGGGGGCAAAAGGACCACACCTCCGCCGCTGTATCTAGTTCTCTTTAAGCTTCCATTGTAAGATGTAGAATTCATATGGATCATCAGAGGATGTTGTATGTGTACAGACTGTAAAGCCCTCTGAGGCAAATTTGTAATTTGCGATTATCGGCTATACAAAATAAAATGAATTGAATTGAATTGAATATGTCCCAATCTGGAAATTAATTACAATGGCAAAGTAATACGATGTAAATATAAACTACTCACCAGCTTCATAGATATTGTGGTTAGTTGTGGGGCTGCTGTTGCTGATCTCAGCGTATGGGGAATCCTGTCTGACCGCCGACTTCATTTCCACGTAGCCACACTCCAAGTTTTTGGCTGTAAGCTGGGGAGGGTCCGTTATTGTTGCATATGGGTTTTCAGAGCTGTTGAGGGAGCAGGAGCTTGCATGATAGAGTGTGCCCTTCAGATCTGGATGACATAGGCAGAAGAGCCAGTGAGAGGTCAATTCCAGCAGTTCAGGACTTATTTGTATCTGAGTTTTTATATTTCTTCTACTGTGGTATAAATGTATAGACCTTTGTACAGACCCAGGCTACTTTAAGGCATAGTCTAAACTCGATTATTTCATGATATTTTCATGTCAAGTCAAAGAACATATTTGTGCTGTCAAATTTCACCGTGAAGCTGAAATTCTATCTCTTGTGTTACCATATACTGAATGCAAGCTACAGGACTACAGGAAAACAATCACACTTCTTGATCCTTTGAATTGTCTGAAAAAATGGATATCCGCGGCCTCGAACAGTCCCAAAACAAATTGCTGCACATTATGTGGACACATACCACTCCCAGTGGAGCTAAGTCCCTCCCTTTCTTTGAAACATAGGAACGCCCCTGCCATGAATGCTATGCTGTATGGGGCGCCGTTTGTAAAATGTTGCACATTCCAAAATCCTGCGCAGTTTTTCCACATTTAGCATTATCGTATGAACAAAAAAGTACGACAATATTCACATGTCACTTTTTCAAACATTTAGAGAGAAATTCATGTACATTCATGCAATAACTTTTCCAAGGATAATGTTTGGCAGTAACAAAGTTGTTAAATAATATAAATGTTAAATCTAAATGTAAATGTTAAATCTAAATTTAAATGTTAAATCTAAATCTAAATGTTATATCTAAATCTAAATGTTATATCTAAATCTAAATGTTATATCTAAATGTTAAATCTAAATGTAAATGTTAAATCTAAATATAAGCGGCGCCTTTACAAACGGCGCCCCATATTTAAGGCTGTAAGCCCTTTTACCATAACACCTCAAATAGAGGCACATTTCATTTTGAAATGCGGTCCGCATGACCGCAGTGGAGAGGGGGTTTACGGGCGCGGAACGTCGCGCAACCCCGCCTTGACCGGACCATCGCCGACGATTTGGCCGCGACGGTGAAGGCGGGGGGGGGGGGGGGGGGGGGCGGATGCTCGCGGTTAACGGTTGGGGGGAGGGGGGGGGCGCGGTGAAATCCTCGGCGATGGGGTCCGGTCAAGTGGGGGTTGCACAACGTTTCGCGCCCGTGAACCCCCCACCCGCATGATTTCAACGTGGACAGTGTGTGGCCCCCTTCCTAAAATACATCTGACACCCCTGCTCTATAACAAGAGCTAATTCATCCGGACTTGCCAGCTTGTCCTGCCGCGGCGTGAATTACCGTAATTATTGTAATGTTCAGTCGTCAAGTCGTCTTAAATGTTAAATGTAGAGCTAAATGTAGATTCTACATTTAACATTTAGATTTAGATTTAACATTTAGATATAACATTTAACATTTAGATTTAGATTTAACATTTAGATATAACATTTAACATTTACATGTAGATTTAACATTTAGATATAACATTTACATTTACATTAAGATTTAACATTTAGATTTAGATTTAGATTTAACATTTATATTATTTAACAACTTTGTTACTGCCAAACGTTATTCTTGGAAAAGTTATTGCATGAGTGTACATGAATTTCTCTCTAATTGTTTGAAAACGTGACATGTGAATATTGTCGTGCTTTTTTGTTCATACGATAATGCTAAATGTGGAAAAACTGCGCAGGATTTTGGAACGTGCAACATTTTACAAACGGCGCCCCATAATGCTGTCAGAAAAGCAAAAAACATTTTGCATCTGGTGTGTGCTGAAAGGACAACTGACACCAACAGAGAGGACACCAGTTTTAAAGTTTAAAGACAGTACAGATGCAATTGGTTTATGGAAACGGTGCTAATGTCTGGTTGGCTAGTTCTAAAAGAACTTGCCCCCAATCAACTCACAGCATAACCACAGGGGGAGGCAGGCTGCAACCTGCTAAATCGCATGGACGTAAGATTAATTTAAGCTTACTTGAAATTTAAGATTAAAATTAATTACATTTTATTGTAGTGAATGTCTCACCCAGTTCATGGACGCAGTTTTCTTGTTTCCAGTCTCTAGGATGTGTGCTGTTGTACTCGGCGAGAGGAGCCCTGTTTCTCTGATCTATGTGCTTCAAGTTCACAAAAAGCTGGTTGCTCTTGGCCTAAAAAAGAAAAAGTGAAACGCGTCAGTAAGGAAATACGTGCATGGTGGCGGGAGTGCATGAAAGAGAGTGGGACTCAAAATACAATTTAAATAACGAAGGGTTTAAATCAGTGGTTCTCAACTGGTCTGGCTCACCCACCATCACCCCTTAATGACAAGCCGCGACCCAAATCGAGGAACATTCTCAACTTCTCAAATTTATTTAATGAAATAAACCTGAGATTGAACCTGAGATGGTATGGAGACAGAATACGTATGCCACCATAAAAACAAGTTTAATGAAAAAACAAAACAGCCAGCTGTTAACCCACTAGTGGGTCGCGACCCACCAGTTGAGAATCACTGGTTTAAACTAAACGTGGCGTTTAGTTTAGGCGGTGATGTAGTGCGATCAGGCGGTTAATTGGCAGTTCTTAGCGGTGCTGCATGCACAACCGGAGCGGCAGACGCAGTCCTTGGAACAGACGCAGGCTGTCGCCAAGGGCCAGGCACGTCTACGTGAACGTGAAGAGGGCCACCGTGGACTGGCTTGGACTGTGCCCCAAGGACCACATGAGGGCCTTTCGGGAGGCACGGCTGGGGCCTGCAGACCGCCCATTCTCGTACGCCCAAGGATTAAAGGATCTGCCCGGAGTGTAATCTGGTAAACCATTCCGAGGGTATCGTTTCCCTCTGGCAATAATACAGTAGGTGCCATTTAATTTGCATGGAAATCATCGGGCCATTACCACCGGGGCGCACAGGGGTATCACTTTGTGTTAAGTGTTCAAACTGAACCCCTACCAAAGTTTCCTAGTCTGTATACACAACCCCACCCAGGAGGTCAATCCTTGCTACAACATAATTATAAAATACAATTAATAGACACATTTCTCATTCTTTCTTTGCCATCTCTTTGACCCTCCATGGAGTCTCATAATACACTTCCATACCTTTCCATTAAGACCATTGTTAACATGTGGAGAGCTGATGCACTGGGTCAGAGTATGGTAGCTGGGGTTGGAAAAGTAGTTGCTTGGGTGGGACTCACTTTCTGGTGGGTGAGCATCTGAAACATGAGATGTTGACAAGAACCAATAATATGAAGTTCATCAGTGCTTTCTGAGCATTAAACCCAATATTAAAAGCATCTCTATCTATGGTCTCATACCGTATGAAATAAGTGATAAGTGAGTGATTATTAAATAAGTGAGTATTGTTTTTGTACTGTAATCCCATGCCAGTGTAGAACTGTTTAAAAGCAATACAACATTCAAGGAAAAAAATATAATGTTATGAGAAATAACAGATGGAAGAGCAGCCTAACATGGGAGGGTATATGTTCTTGAGAGTGTAGCAGTCTGAAGCCAGTCAACCTGTAATGTACCTGCAATGGTGTAATCGGCTGTGACCGTCAATGCAGAAGTGTAGGTCACAGCTGCCATTGAAGGCTCTTTGCCCTTTTGTTTCTTCCTGTAGATAATGAAAAGAAGGAAGAGGAAAAACAGCAGTAGCACCAGAACAATGACTCCTGCGATGGCTCCGATCCGGTAGGTTTTCACATGCAAAGCTGCGCTGGTCAAACTGTTGAGGCTGTCCACCACTACACCAGCTGTAGACAGAAGGATGAGGAAATGTTAGGGGTGTAACGATTCATTCACTGAATCGATTAATCGATTTATATTCCTGCGATCCAACTGAATCGATCTGTGCTCCCCAAATCGGCATTCCGGACGACATATATCGATTACAAATCGATTTGAAATGGTACATAATCGATTGTATCGATACTTGGAAACTGCACATTAGATTTAAGTACAAAAATGGCATGGATGCGTGTTTGTTTGTTTTTTAGCACTTTAGACACGTTAAACGTTACTCGATTCAGTCTGCCTGTCTGTGACGTCATCAGTACGCAGCGGCAGCCGCGCGAAACTCGGAACAACAACAAAACACAGCGTGGAGGAGACCACTGCGAGCGAGACCTTTACAAACCAACTTATCGATCCAGCGTGTGGAAACATTTTGGATTTTGCAAACACGGAGGTGTTCTAAATAAGTCGGTCGCTGTTTGTAGAATATGTAGAAGCCAAATAAAAAAACACGGAAACACAACGAATCTTTCCGGCCATCTACTAAGGCGCCATGGGATTAAACAACGCCGACAGTCAGGCACCTCTAGCAGCGTTACCGCTGCTGCAGCAGCAGCAGAAGGCAACTCCAGCTCTGCAGACACCTCAGGCCTCGCCAGCACGAAACTCAACATCACAGTAACAATTGCCAAGTTTAGCTGTAAAGACACGCAACCCTACAATGTGGTTGAAAATCCGGGGTTCTGTGAATTGATCCAAACATTGTGTAATGTTTACATTGAAAATGGCACTTGATTCAAATAAAAGGTTAATACATTTGCCATCAATTGTTGTTTGCTTGTTTATAATATCCATAATTAATTTAAACCTGATTTCCTTAGAAGAAACAACAGGGATCTCAGAAACTTTGCCTGCACTGTCCAGTAAAGTTACTGAATCGATTTCAAGTCACTGAATCTAATCGAATCGTTCTAAATTAACCCAGATCGTCCATGAAACGAATCGGCAACCATGAATCGTGATTTGAATCAAATCGTGAATCGTTACACCCCTAGGAAATGTAAAACCCAAAATAGTTTCTTCAAAATAAACCAGTAGTAAACATATAGTAGATATGACTGGCCATGATTAGACACCTCAGGTGATCTGATTAGTGTAGTGATTTCTCAAAACAGGTTTGAGAACCGACTTCGGACAACAGGATTGAAAATCTATGTGTCCTCACCTTGGTCACAGCGAGCTCCCTTCCAGCCTGGGTTGCAATAACATGTACCAGTCATGTGATCACATGTGGAGTTATTTAGACAGTCACACACTTGACGGCAGCCATAACCATACGAACCGGGAGGACACCCTGGAAAAAAAAAAGTAATAATTAGACTAAAAGTAGACTATTTTACAGTATATGTAAAGCATAATCACCAAGAGGCCCTTAAAGAAATAAGAAACAGACAAGATTAAGACAGTGTGACATACTTTGTTCGCAGTCTCTTCCCATGAAGCCGGTGCGACAGGTGCACTGTCCAGAGATGTGATCACAGTTGGCCCCATTTCTACACTGGCAGGTCAGAGAACAGTCTTTCCCGTAGAAACCTAATGGACAACCTGTAAGGGCGCAATCACACATCATAAGATATCCTTTTTTTAATTACAAAATAAACACCTTCTCTCAAAAGGGCCTTTTGCTAAACAGCAATGCTTAGTTTGATCACAGAGAATTAATCTACTATATGTGATTGAGTATCTGTCACTGACGTTGTGTGCAGTAGAGACCGGTCCATCCTGGGGTGCACTTGCATTCTCCATCATAAGCGCTGCAGTAGGCTCCGTTGTGGCAGTTGCATGTGTGGATGCAGTTGGGTCCCCACTGAACAGGAGGACAGGCTATAGGCACATATGACATACAAACTTCAGTCATATCAATTACATTGCTTATTCTCACCTCAGAATTATAAGAATAAACGTTCTTACTAATACTTTAGAGGGTCACAACATTATGAAACATCACAACCATCATCTTATTGATCATTTCATTAAGTGAACGCACGCTGGGAGCAGTCGCTGCCGATCCACCCTGGATAACACTGACAGGAGCCATCGATGGGGCTACAGGTGCCGTTGTTGGTGCAGCTGCAGCTCCAAGCACAGTTCTTCCCAAATTGACCACTTGGACACACTAAACACAGGACAAGTGTTAATTATGGACATTCTTACTTTTTCAGGATCACCTCCCTACATTCTCAAATATTATCTAGGGAATGAATGGATTGTATTTGGCATCTATTCTCATCATTGACAGATATCAAATATAAACAATAAAACAATAAAAATGTACAGTAAATGATCATTGGCTGTGTATAAGAAGTGGTTAATGAGATGCCACCAATTGGTTTGTGACCACCATTTTGAAGCAATGAGTTGGCCGTCTTTTTTTTGCATCCAGGGGTGACACGATGGGGTGCAGAGCGTATTACAACTAACGGCTGGAGAACAGATTTTACAGGCGACCAAAACGTAGACCTTTTTGACATATTCACTTTCATCAACTGAATACGTCCTAAACCACCCTACGTCAATGTCTGTTTTACTCCAAATGGAACATGTTAACGAATGAAAACTTAAATAATAATTTGTCTTAGTCACAGTAATTCAAGCAATATAACTCCGCCATAGAGTCTGTGACCTCCCAGCAGAGAAGCCTTGATGTCTAACTATTGTGTGTTAAAGACGGAGACGTAGGTCATAATTCTGGAGACTAAGATGCCCCCCTTCGACCTTGATGCAGAACTTATAATAATTTAATAAATATATATTGTGCTGTGCTGAAAAACATTTCCGACCATATGTATGATTTATACCACTAACTCCTGTTGTTTACTTACGGTAATAAATGTAAGGAGAAGTGGGATCATTTTTTCATAAACTTTTATACAGAGATGTAGAAAGAAAACACTGTATCGTCTGTGCATAATACCCAGCTGTGGAATCAAATGTACATATAGGTCATAATGAATATGGTCATAATGGCGAAGGTACTGTGTATTAATTTAGTCATTTATATATATATATAATATTATATATATATATATTATATATATATATATATATATATATATATTTCACTAAGTCAGGAAGCTGTAGTTATCAGTCTTTGGAATTCCGCATAGTTTGAGCCCAGAAGCTTTTGTAACCTAGTAGAAACAGCGGGCTGCAGGGTACACTCACCCTCGTTGCACAGCGCTCCTTTGAACCCTGGCAAGCAGTCACACTGTCCTGAGACATGATGACATGGTCCGTTGCTGTGGGCACACTGTGGACAGGTCTGACTGCAGCGGTGACCAAAGTAACCTGGAGAGCAGACTGCAAGCAAACCACAAAGATGATTTAATCCAATCTGCATATCATTTCAACCTAATCATGAAAACCGGTCAGGTGTGTGCCTTCAGCGCTAAGTAAGTGTGCAACTTTGTTTGTCCCTGGCTATCTGGCTGCAGCAACCAACCCCCCATCTGCGGTTCTAGAAGTGTATTATATGACTTTGGACCGATTGCTTTCATACATTTCTGCTTGTTTTTGAGTTTGAATGAAGTGTGTATTATGACTGCTATTGGTAGAGATGGAGGGTGAGCCCATTGTGGGTTGTATGCATTCAGATTCACATTCAAATTCAAATGTATTGTCATTGCACAGAGTACATACTATGATGCATAAATCAGCCATGCAAAAAACATAATTAGAAGTGCAAATGAAGCAGTAAAGGTACAGTGCAGTGTGCTTGATAAATAGATGAATAAATACAAATAGAAACAAAGTTTTACTTCCTACCAGTTTACTACGAGTACTACAGTGTGACAAAATGGACCGTATGAACAGTGCAAGATGTACACAGATGTACATCTCCAGTATTAACATTGTTAGGGATTTTAGCAGAAGAGCACACCTAGCGGTGAAAATTATAATATGTGTGATAATGATTAGTGTTAGAATTGTAGTTTGTTAGATTAAATAACTGCAATATAAATTAAACATTACAGTCATTTAAGTATTGTACACATACCATCCAGCCACAATTTAACGTTAAACATTAGAGAACGCTTAATTCCTTGATGGATTTGAAGAGGGTTTTTTGTTTTTTTGTATACTGTTAGGTTGTTAATGAGCAAACAATGAATATGATCAATATTATGCATGCTATGTTATGTTTACATGAAGATGCTTTAGGTCAAAGGTGTTATGATTGAATATATTGTAACATTAAGTGAATAGGGATTGGTCAGGTCAGTGAGGGATTTTAGATTTGTCCATCCGATAAGACCAGGGGAGAGAGGGTCATGGAATGCCTTTTGGCAGAACGACATGTACGAGGGAGGAGCTGGGTTTGAATGTTTAGCCAATCACATAAAACTGTAGCTCAAGGGACCCCCCCCCCCGGCAAGATTGGAAAATCTGAGCTGGAGAAGAGGCAGGCAGAAGCCTCCTGTGAACCAATATTGATGGTCATATAGGACTGGACGAAGGGATTTCTGTTTCGCGAAATATTATACCATTCATACCATATTTCACTTTGTAATTGTATTGCTTATGTTATTAAGTTCTTTATAATTTTCAAACTTCAAAGTTAGTTGAATCTTTTTGACTTGTCGACACAGCCAAGGCGAGGATAAAAGGAGCCTTCCTTGATCCGAAGTTTCAGAACTCCACAACACTTAGGAGTGTAGTATACGGTGTATGTGTGTGTGTGTGTGTGTGTGTGTGAGTGTGAGAGTGCGTGTGTGGGAGGGGACAGGTTGCAGGAGTTCAGTGTTTAATAAATTGACAGCAACGAGAAGAGGTTCTTCCTGAACACTGAAGGTTTCTGCATGACATAGAATAATGAATCCCAACCATTCATATCAAAATGTCTACATAAGTGTATATAAAGGTTAGTGTTTTAACAGCGTGTGGTGCTTTTGCTGAATAAAAACTGCATTCACTGGGGTAGAACATTAGCAGCACATGGCATATTCCACCTTTTTAGCTAAAAACCTTCCTTAAAGAAGACAGAGTACCAGGTTACTGATGACACAACACCTGCTATTCATATGACAGCTAGACATGACCAGTTGTGTCTCAGCTGTCAGAGAAATGGCTCAGCTGAAGAGTGTGTGTGTGCTGGTGTATATCTTTTTAACTGTAAGGTGGAACTAAAAATACTCATCCAAACCATTGTGATTGTTTTATGATCGGTTCAACAGTATTAACAATGTGTGAAACGTGTGGCATGTGAAAAAAAGACATAAGAAATAAACTCAAGTAAAGGGTCAGCTGTGTGTGGGGCTTACTCCTTTGACAGGTGGTGCCTCTGTATCCTGGAGCACACGCACAGGTCCCTTCGTCTGGAGAACAGAATGCTCCATTCTTGCAGTTACAGGGTAGGGAGCAGTTTGGGCCCCAGCGACCCTGAGTGCACACACTGTCACAGTGGATACCTATTCAGAGACAAATACAAATATGTTTCAGGTTCCGTTCTTAACCACATCTGAACCCTTGAAAAGGCTTTTGGAGTATTGGTCATTAAATTGCTTTATTGGTTGAAGAATAGTACGGTCCTCCTTATGGAGGAACTACAAGAACATACACACAGACATTATTACCAAAGATCAGCACCATGGAGAGCAGGAAGTATTTGTGATATGCGGTATAAGTTCAAATTTTGAATCAGACTATGAGAACACTGATACTGTATTAGGTCTTACCAGTCCAGCCGGCCAGACAGCGGCAGTGACCAGTAGAGTGGTGACATCCATCGGCATTACTGCAGTGACATCGCGCCTTGCAGTCCAAACCGTATGTGCCATCCTGAGGCAGATGAACATTAACCATTACAGAGATGACCATCATCAACATGTCCGTTCACATTTAGATATTAAAGAGCCTGTAAAGTTACTACAGGCTCCAAGAGTGGATGTAGAGAGTAATACAACAAGATAGGCGCTTGACCAATGGCATGAAATCAAGTAAAGACCAAAGAGCTAATTGTGGACTTCCGGAAGAAAACTGGCACACACATCCCCATCCATATCAACGGGACGGAGGTTGAGCGTGTCGCCAGCTTCAAGTTCCTGGGTGTCCACATCTCTGAGGACCTCTCTTGGACCCTCAACATCTCATCCCTGGTAAAGAAAGCACACCAGCGTCTCTTCTTCCTGAGGAGACTGAAGAAGGCCCATCTGTCTCCTCAGATTCTAGAGAATTTCTACCGCTGTACCATAGAGAGCATCCTTACAAACTGCATCTCAGTATGGTATGGCAGCTGCTCTGTCGCGGACCGTAAGTCACTGCAGAGGGTGGTGAAAACTGCCCAACGCATCACCGGTTCCTCACTCCCCACCATTGAGGCTTTCCAGAGCAAGAGATGTCTGCAGAGGGCACGCAGCATCGAAAAGGACAGCTCTCACCCCAGCCACAGACTGTTTGCCCTCCTCCCCTCTGGGAGGCGCTACAGGGTGCTCCGTTCCCGGACCAGCAGGTTCAGGAACAGCTTCATCCCTGCGGCTGTCACTCTATTGAACTCTGGCCCCCCTGAACTCTGAACTCTGCCCCCCACCCCCACACACACACATCTCCCTCAGTGACTGTACTTCCCCCTCCACCCTGGCTTGACTGCCACACACCTTCCTCCAGCCACTGAACATTTGCACTGTTATTGTATATCCATTTCTTACTGTTCATATTGCACAACTATTTCTTACTTTATTCACTTATTACACTTTACATATGCACATACTCTGCACTTTTTGCTATTTTGCACTTCTGGTTGGATGTTAAACTGCATTTCGTTGCCTCAGTACCCTGTGCAATGACAATAAAGTTGAATCTAATCTAATCTAATCTAATCTAAGTCAGTGGCCTCTCATCCACATGCCAATGCTGTTTCACAGCTAATGGCAGTTGCACATTTACATTTATTCACTCTAGTTTGATTGATTTTTTTAACTGAATGTTAATCCTAATGTTGATAAGGGTTCTGAAGAAGACAATACTATCAATAGCTTTGATTTGTAGTGTCTTTGAAGGGTATCAGCACAAAGGGGAATTTTGTTGGCTGGGATTTCCTCTCACCTGGCAGCGAAGCTCACACCTCTCTCCCCTCCAGCCTGGAGCACAGGTACACTGACCATTCAGGGCATTGCATGATCCTCCTTTCCCACACATACAGGTTAGGTTACAGCCCACACCCCAGGTACCACTGGGGCAGTTGATGGAGCAGTCCACTCCATGCCACCCTGATTAAACAAGTTCAATGAGATTCAACAGTGTATCAAGAAGATTATGGGGCGTGGTCCCGCTATATAATGGTAGGGGAAACATTGGTAAAACATTCTCATTTAAAGTGAATAAACAGACATTTAAGAAAAACAATTGTAGTTTTAAAGAATGCATAAAATTATTCAGATAAAAATATCTTGATATTATTCACATAATTACCCATCAAATATTGCTCAATGTCATTTCAATATGTTTTTGTATGTTCCCGCTCTTCCTCCTCAGCTCACCTTGTTTACAGGAGCAGGATCCGTCGACAGGGGAACACTGAGCTTTGTTCTTACAGTTGCAGTGGGAGAAGCAGTCCACTCCATGTGTTCCTGTTGGGCAGGGGACTGAACAGTTGGGACCCTAAGAAGGTGTATACAGTAGAACATTTAGAACTGTCAATGATATTGCACATACTTTAAACTCTGTAGCACTGAAGAAACATGATTGGGTCATGCTGTAAGCCATTGCAGTGCATGTGGAGATGAATCTGAACTTGTCAATTAAGCCTGAGTTCAGAACAACACACTTGGGAATGGATTTGCTTGTGCTTTGTGTGTCCGTACAAACATTTGCTCAAGAAGTTTGATGACATCAAAAATCAAACTCAATAACTAAAATCAAATTAAATGTCATGATAGTTAATACAATAATTCCAATATGTTGGGGTATAGAGTTATTTACTCTTTTACCATCTACTGTGTCTGTGTGTCAAGTAAAGAGCAGGAATCCAGATGTGGTTTTGTTAGGTTAGCATAAAGACTGGAAGCTTTTTCCAAAGTAAAAACAAAAATACACACCAACACCTCTGGAGCTCATTGACTGATACACTATTTTCATCATCTAATCCATCATTTCAAAGAAAAAATAAATATTTTGAGTTGTAGGGGGAGGTTTGTGCATGACTTCCTGGAAAACAAGAAGGTCAGCTCAGGCTGCGAACACTGGACAGAAGTACTCGTGAGATAAAGTGTTGATACGTTCAGCATGTGACACCCCCTATAACAACAAAGTTGTATTCTTAGATATTCTGGTTTTTGCTTTAGCAATATATTATTCAACTTTGGACCGACGCAGGCTAAATGTTTGGTCTGGCCTTACAATGTGCCACAACCACATGCTTCATGTCACATAAAGTATAGGCCTCATGAATCAACACACTAGGTGACCTGAAGCACATTGTGACATGACAGAAATGTGTTTTTACCGTGAAGCCTGGAGTACAAATGCACGCTCCGGTCACACTGTTGCAGTCGGCACCGTTCTGGCACTGGCACACCTGCTGACAGGACTCTCCATAAAATCCTGCGGTGCACATTTCGTTGCAGTACAGACCTGACCAACCAGGCTGACATGAGCACTCTCCTGACATTGGGTGACAGCTGGTGAAAACAGGTAAACATGTAATTATTATAAGCACCTAACTCTTGTTCAGTTATCAGAATTATAATCAGTTTAATTGGTCATGTATGGTAACGCATGCATGCAATTTGCAGTTTTTTCTCCTGTTCTCCACATTCATACAGTTTCTTTACATACTAGAAAATGCATCGCTCTTTAACTGGGTAAAACAACATGACACAACAGTTTGTGACACAAACTATTTGTAACGTTAATAATTGCACATTATAAAATTACACTGCAGAACTGCATGCTGGCTACAGCTATTAGAAAAAGAAGAAACTCCGTCGATACATGAAAACCCTAAAAAGAGCGATGCAGGAGGAGCAATGAGAGACCAGAGATGCACCAACACAACTTGGCTATTGTACTGGCTATTGTAACATTTCAGGTATAGATTTCTAGACCAGGGGTCTTCAACGTTTTTCAGGGCAAGTACCCCGTATGGGCTGGTGTTATTAAAGATGAGCTAATTAGACCTTTTCGGGTTGAACATGCACTAAAAATGAACTCCCAAACTTTCTGCTAGTAAGAAGAGCAGGAGACACTTTATTTAAGCAGTGGTACAGGAAAAGGTCTGTATCTTTCAACAGGACAGAATTCAACACAATGCCCCTTTCATGTCTCTCCTGCAATCCCTCGATGTGAGCGTTCGCTGGGTAGCCCCGCCTTCTTCTCCAGCAGAGAAGTTGCCAGATTTGTCGTGAGTAGCTGTTGCACTGCCTTCTGGGACTTTTAATATCAGCCGTGTGTGTCCTATTGACCGACGGGCTAGTTATGATATATGATACTTACTCGTGGGCCGTATATAACTGTACCATGAGCCGGACACAAAGTTAGACTGACGGAAGAGATTAAAGGAGTAAAGAAAATGGAAACCATGAGAGTTAATACAGATCTGTGAAGCAGAGAATATAGTCAGCCCAGAGGACTTAAGTCTGCCCTGCCCACACAGGCCAAAGGGCCATCACGCCGAGTGTATACCTGACTGATGTTTCTTTTTTGGAGATTATTTACCCTTTGACGGGGCACATATGAAGCTGAGTTACAGATAAATGCAAATTTATAAAAGTTGGGATATACACGTTTCTGTCCTTCCCAATACTCTGGGGAAGTATTAGTAAACTACAACATTTTTCAGGTCAAAAACCCCGTACTATATATATTATAAAATTGTGTTTTATATTGGACCATTTCCTAGACGAGAGGAGCGCGACCGATTTTTAGGAGCTACCAAAAGGCTTGCCTCAAGTTCAGGGACCTCCTCAACCCCAGGAAGAGAACACTCCCACTCCCGCTGGGCCACAGCTGAGTCAGAGTTGTCTCGTCTATGTTGTGCTTCATTTTTTGATTCTGCATGAGTAAAGTAGTTTTTGTTCTTGAAGTTGCGATTGGGTCTTCTCGCTGCACCTGCCAAATGGAGGGGTTTAAAGGAGGCGCAAGCCCCAATATAATGTTCAATGAATGTATAAAATGTAGAATTGTCCTGAAAGAGCTTGATTTATTGGAGTATGTGTGCCTCCGATAACTGAATTCAAAGATCTGAATCTCCAGCGTGTTCACTCTCTCTAGTCATCGTGACATCACCCAGTGGTTTGTGAACTGATGCATTTGAAGCCTTGAGTCATCTAGTTACCATATTTGGAATGTGGAGGAAGGACTTAGAGACGTTGAATCTGACCATCATTTTAGTTAAACTTCCTTTTTCAACCAGAGGAATCCTCCCCCCTGCTGATCAGTATAGAGAATGAATGCACTCCATTGGCTTCACTTTCCAGAACCGGAGGTTCCCCACTGGTTGACCCACAAGATTAAAAAGATAAATCTAAGCTGAAGGCTTTATACGTCAAAATGGCCTGAATCAGAACAGAACTTGAAGAGATGGTTTAAAAGAGCAGTAGCTCCTTTAGTGTACCTGACACTGATTACAAAGGACTCGGAGGAACAACAATGACAGAGGAAAATTAACACAAGTCGAAGTTTATAAATACTACTAACGTTATATTTAGGACTATTTCAAGCGACAAGTTTGTTGTTTAAGCAACATTTCTGTGATCGATTGTCAACATTGTGCCTTCCTAACAATTAGCTCCCGGATGTGGGAGCTGTGAGGTGTACAGTGGTTAACGGGACCGTCAAACCTCTCCACACCGGGCGGTTACCCCGCAGAGAGTAGCCTGTTCTCGGCAAGTCTTATTAAACATGAGCTATATTATAACTAGGCTTCAGTGTTCAATCTGTTGTCAGAAACGCGTCACCGGTAACGTTACGTTGGTTTTACTGCAGAGTTTAGAATTATCAACTTAATGTTTAAATTAATGTCAAGTCCATTCTCGCCGTCATAGGTATTAAACAAGGGCCTGAAACTCTCTATGCCAGCCGGGGGTAGTTCTGCTGTCCAGCACGGTCCAGCCTGTACTTATCAGGGATTGTGTTTGACAGCTGGCCCACCTTACAGAGCTCTCCCATTGTAAGCAGCAGGGCAGCTGTTCTCTGCAGACAGATGCACCACCAGATGTGCCAGCCCAACCGGTCACTGCCTGCTGGCCGAAAACGTGCTGTCTGTGTCATGAATCGGGTATCCTCCTCCTTTTTCCTTTCCAACCCTTTCTTGTAACTTACACACACACTCGCACACACACACAGATAAGTCCAGCTGCTTCTCATTCTCTCTTCCCCTCACCTGTTCCTACTTTCTCTAATCTATTTCTAGCCTGCCTCTTCCCCTTGTTCTCCGCCAGAGTGTTATCTATGTACCTGAGCTTGCGGCCCCGTAGCTCCTGCCTTGTTGTGTCCTGACAGTTCGTGTTGAACTGTATTGTCCTGTTACCTAACCTCTGTTTCACCCAGCTTCCTGTTTGACGTGGGTGGCCTGCCGTCTGGTGCGCTCTCCCTCAGCCTGAACTTCGTTGCCGGCCAAGCGCTCGCATCTTTTCTGTTAAGCCTTAAGAGCCTTTTTGTTTGTGAGACCACCTTGTGGCTACTAGAGTTCCATTTTTGGCCATCCTGACTTCATTAAAACAGACTTTACCTTCCCTTGCATTTGGGTCCTCTCTCCTTCACGACCATAACAGTCTGCCTGGTCAACCATCATAGTGACAAACAGATAGAAAACAACTGTGGTAGCGGGGGAGGGATTGGGCGCAGCGGCAGAAAGGAAAGAGTAGGAGGGGGCGTGGTTCAGGCAATGATGCCAGCAAGAGGCATTAGAGGCCTCAGCTGGAAAACACACCGAATCTTGTTTTCGTCTTTCCATATATCACATATGGAATATATGGAGGCATTATCTTTGATCCCCAGAATAATATTTAATTACTATTACTGCTGGCCTGCCAATATATTGTATATTATTAATAGCAGCTATCCCTGGAGGGCTTGAGACAACGACAGATGAGAGACACGTCATCCGTAACGAGTGACTTCTTGTAATTTCGCTCCAAAAGACACAACGGATAACCGGAGTGCGTTGCAACAACATATGGATTCTTATTAACAAGATACAACTTAGAAGACAGAGTCATTTTTGGCATATTACAAGATGTATAGTACAACAAATTGATCCCATCTCTTATATGCAGGGTAAAGTTTGTACAGTATTTATTTGCGTACCTGCGTGTGTTCTGGGCGTAACACAGACACTTCCTATCACACCGGAGGCCATAGTGTCCTTCAGGACACAGTCGGGCGTTGCATGTCTCCCCTGTGTATCCTGGTTCACACAGACACTGCCCGTTGGTGTAGTAGCATTTGCTATAGTTCTCACAGCGACACTTCTTTGCACAGCCGGCACCGTAGGTGCCAACTGGACAATGGTCCTGACACCTGTTCACAGTAGAGATACAACGGCATCAGTCAGTGATTTCAAAAAGTAAAAGGTAAAGTAAATTTATTTTTCCAGAGTTTAAAATTCCGCTTTTTACTTATCTATTAAAGATTTCTTTTTGCATTTTAAACTTAGATAGGATATACACACACACACACACACACACACACACACACACACACACACACAAATACAATGACATAGATAACATGTAACACAGGGGTCTCAAACTCATTTCAGGTGCGGATCAGATGCAGCCCACTTCGACCGAACGCGGGCCGAACCATTACGGTCAAGGGGGGGGTGGGAAGGGGCGGGTTTGAGACCCCTGATGTAACATAACCCAATTTAAATAAAGAATTAATTGCAATAACAGTATGTTTTTCTTTTCTTGTAAGTGTGTATGTGTGTATATATAGATAGATATAAAGAAAAACTCTAATTGCAATTATTTCATTAGTTAAATTAGGTTACATTTTATGTTCATGTGGGACCATTGTGTTTTTGGAGTGTTGACAGACAGTATCTGAAAAGTCTTTATGATCATTTTTTAAGATACGGAAAAGGGACGTAAAGGAGGTCTCTCGGTTTAGCAATCTATTCACACAGGTGAATTACAACAAATGAAGAAGCCCTGCGTATGGCTGACTAAACTGTGCATACTAAACTGTGCAATCAGCCAGAAAGCCAGAAATTATGGGGGCATTTGTTGCCCCTCTCCTCGTGATATCAGGGGCAAAATTATACTTCTTGGGGGCAACGCTGACCCCTACTAGCATGAGGGCATGTAGAGAGAGTAGAGCTTGGCTTTTTGACAAAAGTCCTCCAACTGCAGGAGCTACGTGAACCATGGGTTTGTGTAGTTGTCTTATAACGTGACATATGACTACCATAGTAGTCAGCGAGTCAGCTAGCACATTGAGGTCTAGCTCGAGGGTCATGGCTGATTGGCTTTGTGAGGGGCTAAGCTAATTCATCACTTGATGCTGAAGACAAAGTGATTTGGTTCCTAAATATTTACACCGAGATGTAGCCTCTTCCATTGATAGGTACACCTTGGTCTGTGTTCTGGCCACATATACACGGAGGATATAAAGGAGGAATAAAAACCTTTGTACCAATCCATGACGAGTGACTTCTCTTTACGTTCCAAAAGAACCCAACGGGAAACAGGTCTTTGTTCACAGCCATTTTGGGTCGGCGTGTGGAGCGTGGCTCAGTGTTTGGCTTGAAGGACCAATTGTTGTAGATTTAATGTTAAGGTTACATTCACTTTGCTGTTTTTTTGCCACGCCATTTTGCTTAGGGAATTGTATCATATTTCCAGTTATTGGAATCAGTCCAACAGACACGTGGAAGCAGACAAAACACTCATGTCAAGATACAAACAGGGAGTTGACCTCAAATAGGCCTCCATTTATAGTGTGGGAGGTGACTCACCACTTGGTGCCTCCTGTGGGAAGGAGGGCAAATTGCACACATTTTTTAACAATAGATGTATCTAATGTTTCATTTCTCTCTAGAATCTTTGAGAAAGCAGTCACAAATCAGTTGTATGACTTTAGTTTGAGGGTTTTCATTTAGGATTTAGTGCATCATAGCACTGAAGTTTCTCAGAGTACAGTTGTTTAGCATCTCTCACCGCCTTGCTAAACCTGTATTTTGACTATGTGTACAAGTCTTTGTCCCCACTCCTAAATGCCTGATCCTTCTGCAGTCGTAGTTTTTGGAGTTCCGCTGTAAACCAGGGTTTGTTGTTGTTATAACGCACCCTGAAGCCAATGTAAGAAGTTACGGCCTCTGAACTCATCCAGACTGTTGGTAGCATGAAAACATCCCAGTCTGTGCAGTCCAAGCACACCCAAAGATCCTCCAGCGCCTCACTGGTCCACTTCTTGAATTCCCTCACCACAGGTTATTGGTCTTGTTGTCCATTTTCTCATTGTAATAGTCCAATGTTGGGCACCAACCGCCATGTCAATTTCCTTGTATGTCAAACATAGCAATAAATGTTTCTGATTCCTGACATGAGTGGGTCAAAGAGTCTGAGTCAACAATACTTATCCCCATGAACTCCACACTAGGAACGGCATGCTTGGCTCACCAAAAATAATCAGTCAACCTCTGCAATCCATGACTCTCCAGCTAATGACCGCGCTAGATTGATATTGAATAATAGACTGCATCAGTGGTCATAAACTACATCAATTTCCATTCCAGAACTTTGCTTCATGTCCCAATTAACTAAAACACATCACCATCCTATGTCCGTAGGCTGGAGGAGTAAACCACAGATGGCTGACTGCAGTAAAAACGCTTGGCTGTGGTTCCACAGCTTTCTGTTAATCACAGTCATTGCTTGAACACAGAGCTTCAGCTAATGTGGCTGCAGCTAAGCAAAACAAACAGTTTGGAAACTAATGCAGTAGGTCCTCATTATCTCATCCATGGTTCCACAGTGCAAACAACAAACTCAAACTGGGTTTGGAAATAATTCTCTGCCGGACCCACTTAAAGCTGGTAAAGAGAAGGAAAAGATTATGATTTTATGTACTAAACTAAACCTAAATTTTCTCATCCCCATTGATGCAAAGGTCTGACATAAGTCTGATGTGTCCATTGGGTTTGGGTGTGGCATGGTCAACCCAGTTCTAAGCAGTTCTATACTGTGACGTTGGGCTTTCTATTCCTGTCTCGTCACTGGTCTGCTTAAGTATATGGTGTGTGCTCTCTGATATTGTTAATCATGGGCCTAAAGCCCTGCGTGGCGCTGTAATGAAATCTGTCTGTGAAAATACTAAATGGGCTGACTGATTTTCTGGGTTTTCTCTGTGCTCTCTGAGAATGTGGAATAGTAAAGCAGACACTGATGACATTTCAGAATGTCATAATAAGGGTCGACACAAGTTGTATTCTGTAATAATCATAAAAGAATAAGAGGTTCTGCACTTAACATCTTGAACTCCAAAGTAACTAAAGCTGTCAGATAAATGCAATGGAGTAAAAGATACAATAAATGCCTCTGAAATAGAGAGATGTATTAGTAAGACTGTTGAGTAACATAAAATATGAATACTAAAGTAAATTAGAAGTAGCTCCAAGTTCACTAGTAACGTGGAATTCTTCACTACTGTGGGCTGTAATGTCACCAACCTCAGCTGTAGGATAGCTGCATATTTAATATTGTTTGACGATAATGATGTTGAGGACAGCATTTTTTCTGATTCTGTTTAAAAATCTGCAGTTGATTAAATGGACAAATTTCTGTCCTTTTGACTTTTGAAAAGTCTTGGTGGTATACTCTGCTGGATACATCATTCATGTGTGTGATTAGTTAATTGCATTCCAAAAGGTGAAATGGCATTCATAGATTATTCTTGATGCGCATTTAAATGTTGTGAGATACAGTATAATTATGATTGTTTCTGTTTTTGACTTCTTTCATCTTTAAAAGCCCACACTATCTGCCTCTGGATGCAGATTTATGGTACTGTTTTCAGTCTGCAACATACAGTATGATTTCCTAAATAAGCTCACTCCATTTGTTGATCACTGTTAAGCATTCACACAACACCAAGCACCTTTCACTGTTTTTTGTTCCTGCACAATTACAATAAGCTGCTCACAATGTCGGTGACAAAGCATTTTTCATTATATGCAAAAGATGAATTTGATGATTTGTGAGTCGTATGTGGTACAAAATCAGCACATACACAAGGAACAAAAAAAAGTCCAATTCCCTAGCCCCACCTCTTAACAGCAGCAGTAAACATGTTTACAGCTTGGCATATAATTATTTTTGTACCAAACCTCTTTTTTTATAAACCCAAATCACAATTGATATTTACGGTCAATGCAATCTCGGCGTAGATTGCAAACCATTTTCACTCGCTGACTGTCTGGCCCTACCGTACACACTACTCCAGTTTCTCCCTCTAGTTCCATAACCCCCCAGTTATGAACTGGTAGAGGGTAGCTCAAGAAAAAGCATCTATGAACTGGAGGTGGGAAATATGTGTGTAGTAAGTACTGATACTTACATATTGCCTTTTCAAGGCACTTTGTATGTAGCCCTTGGGACCCCCCCCCAGTCAGAACTGGTGAATGACCCTACACTTTCTGGGAAAAGGAAGTGTGGGGTCCCCTGCTGCCACTGTTGCCCCTGCGACCCGACCCCGGATAAGTGGTTGAAGATAAGGTGGGATATCATATCCAGCAACATAGAATGAAAAACTGACTGATCCCCCAACCACAAAAGGTTTTTCCTCAATGAGCTTTTACTTTTACATTATTGGGATCCGATTCTCACACATTATTTCCTCAGACTTACAAAGCTCCATTGTATCCTGATGAGCAATTGCATTCTCCAGTAAGATGGTGACAGCTAGCTCCGTTCTGGCACTGGCACTTCTGCTGGCACCCATTTCCGTAGGTGCCCACTTCACACTGTGCCTCGCAGCGCCAACCTCGGTACCCAGGAGTGCAGATACAGGCTCCAGTGATGGGATTACACAGTGCACCATTCTGGCACTGACATCTGCTACTGCAGTGAGGACCCCAGTGGTTACTGTCACAAACTGAGGGAAAAATGAAAGAAAATAATCTAGATTTAGTTCACAAGTATCCTGGAATATGGAACATGTTGTGAGTCGAAGGGATTATTTCAGCCAATCTAAGGGAAGATGCTTATTTGTATTTAGTTATTCTCATGATCGTTTACAATATGTTGTTTTGTTGTCTTTGTCTTTTCCTATATAAAAAAAACATTTTTATTATTTTTTTTTATTGTGGTTTTGGTAGAGACCATCTGAACAGCAATTTTCAAATCCTGCCACAGATTCTCAATTGGGTTGAGGTCTGGACTTTGACCGGGCCATTTTAAAACATAAGATGCTTTGATCTAAACCAGAGGTCACTGACTGGCGGACTGCGGTCCGGATCCGGACCCAGAAGCCATCCCATCCGGACCCAAAGCTAAAAGAAAACTGTTGTGATTTAAACGTGACAGCGACAGACGATAAAAAGACGATAGGAAGAAAAGAAAGATAGCGAAATTTGAGAAAAAGACAAGTGAGACAAAGAAAGCAAGAGAAAGGGACGGGTGAGAAAATGAGGAACAAATGGATAGTGAAAGTAGAGCATTTAATCCATAATGGACAAACTCGTTTCTGTTCATACTTTCCACTGCAGCTCTAAACCGGTGTCTTATATATTAGAACCCGTTGAAACGCTATCACGAGGCGCTATGATCTCCTCCACGTGAGAAAAGGCCCTGATGCATTCAGGCCCAGGTTTAAAAACCTGGCAATAAAACTAGAGCTGAATTCTCCCACTCCCCCTCTTCACATTTTAGTTGAAGATCCCTGATGTAAACCATTCCACTGTAGCTCTGGCAGTATGTTTAGGGTCATTGTCCTGCTGGAAGAAGAACCTCCGCCCCAGTCTCAAGTCTTTTGTATCATATTTTCTTCAGGCATTACTGTTTGAGTATTGTGCTGTTTCTTCAGTAAACGAGTAGACAGTTTAAGGAGAGTAAACTTGTTCACAACTCTACCACTCGGTGGCAAAATCCATCCATCTTCAAACCGCTTATCCTGCACATGGTTGACCGCTTCTCCAGGGCTGTGCACTTCGTGGCGCTGCCCACCCCTCGTCCGAAGAAACTGCGGATATCATGGTCAGTCAAGTTTTTCGCATAATTTGTGGGTGTATTGACGGATACCAGGGGCGTCGTAAGGCCCATTTTAGGGGGGCTTAAGCCCCCCTAAAATGTTCTTCAGCCCCCCCAAATCATTTGGCATTATTGGCTTAAAAAAATAATAATAATAATAATTAAACTATTGTTTCCCATACGGACAAGTTATTTATAACTCTCACATGCTACATATGTGCGTGCGTTCTGGTTTGTATGTTTACTCCCCCTTCAAATTATAATCCAATAGTCTTTCATCATATTTTACGATACAAACCCCGGACACTAGTACCGTTTCCTGTCAACGACAGCCAGTATTATAGCCAAGGAGTTCAAAGTAAATGATGCACAGAGTGAAATTGTAAGTACAAGAAGTTACAGAATATGGCTATCTGTAGTTGTTAACGAGTGTTACCTGCTTTAGGTTTACTTGATATGAAAGTGAATATTGTAGTGGGCTATGTTAAAACTAAGCTAGCTTGCTACTTTGTTAGAAACTGTCCCCAGTTAGCAAGAAATAACTACCGACATCTCTCTATTCTTTGCATTGATATATCTCTCTAGTATTTCAAAACTTCTCAATTGAAATATGGAAATATATTGAAAACTTTCAATATTATCAGTCCTTAAAGAATGTTATTATCTATAATCAGTTAATGCTAGTGAAAACTAAATGTCATAGTGTCCCTCATAACGCTATTGTGCCGGTATATCATCCAATTCATTGACCAGATGGATATAAGAACATTCTTTAGGAGAGGTGGCAGCTCCGCCCCGTCAGATGGGAGAGAGAATCAGGAGATTGACAGGGCTGAAGGAGCCGGTGTGATGGAGGTTAGTGGTCTACAGGTCTAGAAGGAATTGAGTTGTTGTTTTTATTTTCTTCTACTGTGGTAGAAATGTATAGGCATTTGTTGTCAGGCCTAGGCTACTCCAAGTCATAGCCTAAACTAGATTATTTTTAATTTTTTTATGCCAAGTCATAAAATTGGCTTCTGGATTTCGATCAGTTAATGTTTCAATGTTTGAACCTATCTTAAAGGCTCATGCAGAAGGAGAGGCTGAGGCAGAAAAGGGAAGCTGCTCAAGTCAGAGAGAGGAAGAGACAGACCAAGCAGCTGCAGCAACTAATGATTTAGGTGAAAAAGACACAGGGCCCAGACAGGTTAAGCTGAAGAGTTACCCACAGGACAGCTTTGGTGCTCAGAACAGGTAATTTCACCACAGCTGGTTTGAGAAGCACAGTTGGTTGGAATATTCAGAGGCAACTTTCTTGCTTGCATGGAACTTTTGCCATTTAATTTTGAGTTTGATGCTTTCCTTCAAAAATATAACCCTCCCTCAAATGCTACCTATATCTCACCAACATCTCAGAATGAGATGATTGAGCGTTGTGCTCAAGAAGTAAACAGTGTCATTGTATCTGAGATGACAAAGTCCAAAATGTATGCCATCATGGCAGATGAGGCAAGGGATGCACGGTCAGAGCAGCTGGCTGTTCATGTTAGGTACGTGTCAGAGACGCTTTTCTAGTGTAGATGCAGGCCTGCTACAAGGCATCCAGGCATGCAGCCCTAAATCTCAGAACTTCTTAAGTGAATCACATTTGGATGAGCTTACCAAGCACTACAGCATTAATCTGAAAAAAGAGGAAGTTCTGGTGGCCAGAAACTTCCTTGCCCGCAAAACAGGCTGGATGTCCACCCCGAGATATGCTAGCTGTGCACAACCTCCTAGACTCCGACATGTTTCCTTCTCTGAAGGCAATCTTTCAAGTTGCCTTAACAGTGCCTGAGCAGCTGCTCATGTGAGAGGTCCTTTAGTGCACTGTGTCGGCTGCACTCCTGGCTGCGTAAGACAATGGGGCAGAAAAGGCTTCACAGTCTTGCAGCCATGTCAATTGAAAGTGACATTCTAGGGGGACTGAGTCACAACACACTGATAGACCGATTTTCCACCCTCAAAAACAGAAGGCATTCTTTGATGCTTCCACCCACAAAATAATCATTTTCCTGTGATTCCATACCACCCCTGTCCCAATTGTCTGAAATCTCCTGTGCATTGGATTTTTTTTTTTTTTTTTAAATAATTTTAATGTCTTTTTTTTGTGAGAGAGACACACAAATTAGTCACCAAGCTGAAGCTAAGGCCAATTACACCTCATTCCAGCACTGTTCCTGCAGCTGAGCCTAAACACGCCCCGCCACTACAATGGGATTCCTTTGGGCTTTTGGTTGGGCTCTCGGCGCTACCATCAGTTTGTTACGGTGGCCCTGAATTGCAAAACACAACGGCAAATAGGAACGCACAACGCAAATAGGAAAGCACAACAGAAAATAGGAAAACACAATGACATTAACTCCTTACAGAAAGGGTAGGGCCTTATAGCAGAGACGGACCCTTCTGATTGGACAGACGTACTGTCTGTCTTTTAACAGGAAAGGATACAAGGCTCTCAAGTGTCACGCATTGCGCGAGACAGTCACACACTCCCGCCACTCATCCAATTCAAATAGTGCAAATAGTTAAGGAGTCACAGTAATTTGAATCCTCCATGTCACTTTCCGTTGCCGGCGAAAGGCTTCGGATTAAGAGGGTTAAAAGACAGACAGTCCATCTGTCCAATCTGAAAGGTCCGTCCTCTGCTATCTGCTATAAGGCCCTAACCTTTCAGTAAGAAGTTCATTTCGTTGTGTTTTCCTATTTGCCGTTGTGTTTTGCACTTCAGGGCCACCGTAGTTTGTCCACCGGCTTCCACCCCCAGTCTAACGGTCAGACTGAGAGACTCAAGAGATGGAAGCCTTCTATGTTGTAGCTGGTTGTCATCTACGGTCCACTAAAGTTACAGAGAGGTGTCGTTTGTGTTTTGACAACGTTTTATCTCATAATTTAGACTTTCTACCCCTTTTTCTTTGTGCGGAAATAAGCTTCTATGGTTCTGTGAATACATACCTCCAGCCAATCCAAAGACGGGGATTGAAACCAATTACATATAGAGATACCATGGGGACTGGCTCCGCCCCCTTACTGTCAAAAAGAACAACAGCGAGCGTGTAGAAAACCCCTTCGAGCGCGAGCAGAGATTAACTTTGCGAGCAAGGAAGTTCACGTTCGCGCAAGACAGACTTTTTGCTCCCGCGAGACAGAGATTTGCTCGCGGATGTTTGATTTACGTGCGCGCATCAACTCGATTTGCGCTCTCGAATTTTGATAGTGATTTGCCGCCATAGTATTTCCGTATTTTGTTTTTTTATGGTAAAACAAACTATCAAAAGCTACACAGACCATGTTGGCTACCTTTGGGACACAATTCTCCTGATAGTTTAAGGCTTCCCTTGGTCAAAGAGTCACACAATTTACTGTATATGTTAATCCATAATGAGCAACAGCGCAGCTTGAACCAAATATAAACCAAAGCTGCTCCTTCATCACTGACATGAAAACCATCTGATGTATGTTGTATATTTCTAAACGTTTTTCATCTTGTTATCGCCTGACTGTGGGCTAAATAAGAGGGAGTCAGAAAGGTTTACAGTTACTGCTTCATGAGAGTGACCGTGAGACACACGCATTTCCACCAGTTCACACGCCAAAGAGTGACTGTCTGTACATATATTTAATTGCAGTTATTGTGCATTCTAGATTTTTTGTGAGAGAGCTTTTAGTTGAAATGGAAATCTTCAAAGGAAAAATTCCCATTATATAGAAAACAATTAAATCATTTTAATTCATTCACAGCATGTTTTAATCTAACAAAATAGTCTGCTTCAATCCATAATTGTTAACGTTAAACTTTTCAAAAACAATATTTTCCCTTTGGCCAAAGAATTGCTTTCCCGCTCCCCACGGTGCACACAAATGGAGACACGCCTATGTGTAACTGAC